GGAACACGACACTCAAGGATGCCGTACTTGCGAACCTTCGCAAGGAGTCGATACCATCGTCCAATCCAACCGACCACATGATAGACAATCGGTACTGGATTTCTCGGCTTGCAGATGTTTGGTTTTTCCCGTCGTATACTCTACACGCCGCTGACACGGATGAACCTGTGCAGGCTGCTGTGAAATTTGGAGCTGACTTCCCGCTGCTCGCGGCTGACTACTTCCCTATTCCTGCCGAGAAGCTGTCCGAGCAAAAGCAGCACGGCTACAAGAAAGCGAGGAAATGTGACACCGCCCTTCGCCGTCTGAGCAAATCTATCAACAATCTTCAACATCTTCGTCAATGTTGAGTTCACCCAAAATGATCCACCACCTATCACCTCTAATCCCCTCATTGGTGCGAGCGAGCATGTCACGAAATATCAGCAAACCATCATCAACGCCGACGACATCTTGAGTTTCATACCGACACTATCACTCCATGGCAAGGGAGAGGACACGAAACTTTTCTTCTCGATTCTCAGCCAGGTGCGTCCTGAGTTCGCTGTCATTGACCAGTGCTTTAACTCGGACCTCTTCCGTGTCGCGTCCTTCTATCAACTTGGCTACAACACTCTCTTCGTTTACACATTCTGCACTGCTCCCCTTGAATTCTTCATTGGTAATATTGTACCCGTTTCCTTCGTTCTTCCTGGTATCGAAGGTGTAGTGCGCCTCACCGGGAGGTGCCTATCACGGCTGCGTTCAAGACCTTTCGAGCGCTCGATAGTTGTGCTCGAGGGCACGCTTGATGACCGGTCAACGGATACAATATATATCGTGGTCAAAGTAAGCTTTATCGCCGAGGCCCGGGTCTGGCGGGAAAGAATCATCGTCGACTGCACTTGAAGCAGCCCAGCCCAGCCCATTCTCCGAAGCTGTTGGCGTCATTTGCTGCGTTTGGCTCACCTCCTCCCGGCTTATCCAACGAGGTCTCGAGGACAGGGAAGCGACTAGTAAGTGCTATCGAGGATCTCCCCGCTGTGGTCCGTCGTCACCTCGAGGTCATGCCCTTTTCCTCGCCGCCCAACGCCTGCCAGCTTATGGATGTTGGTTCAGGAGCCACATTCCTTGCCGCTGCGCAAGCGATTCTTGACGCCTTCCGCCGTGGCATTCTTCATCGTGATCTCTCTGTGAACGACATCCTCGTTGCCAACGATCAGCTTCTCCTCGATGACTGGGAGATTGGTCGACGGTTCAGGAGCTGGGCGGGGAACGGGAAAATAAAATCACTGGCACATTGGACACAATGTCCGTGGCGAGTCTCGCGCTACGCAAGCCACTCCCGCACCACGAAGTGGAGTCTACTGTCTGCTCACTTGTCAAGGTGCTTACCCAGAGGTTCGTGCCCCCATTGGACCAGAAGCGCAAATGGGCTACAATCCTCAGGAGGTACCACTGGGACGATCGTCTTATGAGCCACGGAACGCTTCGTGATGTTCGGTTTGCCTTGTGGGTGCCTCAGTGGGAGGACACACTGGTTGCCGATACTTTGGGTGTTTTCCGGTTGGCCGGACATCATGCTCAAGCCCAGCTTCTTTCTTCACTCTTCTTACTCCCTCTTCCCACCATGTTAATAAATGTTGACGCCAATCACGATACAGTCCTCCGGTCACTTGAAGTGCTTGTGAAACAGGCTGTTGAGGTTGTGGATGCTGTTGATGTGAATAGCTTTTCTTCGGAGTGGGACATGGTACCTAATAGCCCTTGAGCAGTGTTACATTCTAATTTAAAGTTGAAGGGGAACCGTGACCTCGTATATTGTTCAGAAGCACGTCATCGACGGTACCACCAAAAGTCAAGACCATGCGCGTTAGTCCGCCTTGACCATCAGAACGAGCGCCCTGCCGGTTCTTGTAGACATCGACAACCTCGAATTTGCTTCCAACACCATCTGCCACACACAACAAGGAAATATTGGGCCTCACATGCGGAGGCCGGAGCAAGAATCACTGTCGAACTTTGATCTATGTTGAATCGACCTTCAGTACGCTCAGTGGCTGCTCTTGAGGAGTTATCTCATCGAGGTGAAACTTCGTTATGTTACAAGCGCCTCTGGCCCAGCACAGAATTTGCTAAACAGTATATACGTAGTCTGTTGCACAACGATCAGAACGATACCACGAAGTTCACGAAAATCCACGGAAACGTATAACACATATAGTTCTACAGAACCTCGCCCTCTTCCGCCTGACATCTCCTACTTCACTCCTTCTTGTCGCGTCCCCACACCACGCTTTCGACGGCTGCCTTATTTCCACGCCACGCCAGCTTCAGCCCCTTCTCCCAGGTTCGTAGTGGGCTGAACATGCCCACACGCTGCTGGTATGCGCGGTACTTTCTCTGATACTTGTTTACGGTGATGCTCTCAGTGAAGAGCGTCGAGGAGAAGAATAGGGCAGTAAGCGACAGGGCGGGTGCAACGTCTGCGAGAGGCGCAAGGAAAGGGAGGAGGGTAGCGGGGTTCTCGAGGATGGCGGAGAGGGAGGGGATGGGGTGCGTAGCGAAAGTGGTGCGGATCAGGTGGGGCGGCGAGGGGGAGAGGAGGGGGATGAGCGTGATGATCCACTGAAAACGTCCCTCGTGAGCTCGTATGATCATAAAATGAAAGCGATGCGCACCCAGAACGACTGCTCGCAGAGGAAATTGGGATGGCGGGAGTACGCCCACAATCCCCTGGTGATGAAACCGCGTTTGGCGTCTTCGGGGGTGAAATCCAGCCCCGCACCAGGCCAGTGCTCTCTCTTATCATAAGGCGCGACACCAGCCTTGCCCTTCTCTGTAGCCTCGTGAGCGTGTTTGTACGCATGGAAAGCCCATTGCTGGTTGTCTGCGGTGAATTCGAACCCGAGGACCACGAGTGCCAGGGCACCGAGAGCGATGTCGGAAGGTGCGAGGGTGGTATGTGGCTGGGTGGCTGCTACTTTCGCGGGGAAGCCGAGCAGTAGGAGGAGGACATTCTGCGTAGCGGCGATGAAGGTGAGATTGACAACTTGGAAGAGCCAGGCTGGGAGTTTGGTGCGGAGGACGGCCCAACGGTAATCTTCGTCTGACCTAGATGGAGCATGATGAGGCAACAGCGGGAGATGTGAATGAAAATCACTCACAGTCTGAAGAGCCCCCGGCGGTACGTGTTGTAGGATAGCCTGTAAAACATCAGAGAGGAATATCAGCCAGGGAACAACGTGGGTAGACGCACCTGGACATCCAGACAAAGACAACTCCAAATATCAAGAGAGCTCTTGGGCTAAAAGTCTTAGCAACGGCCCATCCCAAGCTCTTGGGCGAGTAAGGGAATAAGAAGAACAGGGGTTCTTCGGGCCAGAGGGGCAGCAGTGCATAGTATCCAGTGTAGATAGTTGGTAAGAAGGTCCAAAGACGATCGACTTGAGAGACATTAGAGGTGATGAGAGAAAGAATCCACACTGCGGCTGTTGTTGCAGCACAGAACTCGACAGGCCATTGATACTCTGGGGGAACGCTGGCCAGGATTGTCGTTGCTGTGGCCATAGAATTGGTGGTGGACGCGTACGTGGAGAAAGGATGGTACCACAATTTAGGCGCGCGATCGGCGGACTCGATCGTCACCCACGTGATGTTCGACGCGTCGCGGGTGCGGCGCTGGGCGACTCAGCAAGCAGGATTGCAAAATTTAACCCGCATGGTACTCTACATACTGGTATATACTAATACATACACGAACGAAAATACCGCCCATCAAACACTCATTTTCATTGAAATCGCAGCATGCGGTTGATACCCCTCAACGACGAAGTCATCGTACACGAACTCCTCGATATCAAGAATATCCTCTCTGGCCCAGCGCAGCGTCGGGAACGGACGTGGCTCCCTCTTCAACTGTTCCTCCAGTGCATCTACGTGGTCACGGTAGACGTGCGCGTCTCCGAGCTGGATGATGAGCTCGTGTGCGTCGGTCCCAGTAACGTGTGCAATCATATGCGTAAGGAGCGCATACGACGCGATGTTGAAGGGGATTCCTAGCCCCAGGTCGGCGGAGCGTTGGTACATCAGGCAGGAGAGCTTGGGCTTCGATTCGGGCGACGAGGCGGGTGGGAGGTGAACATAAAATTGGCAGATCATATGGCATGGAGGCAAAGCCATCTGTGGAATGTCTACGGCGAATGAGAAGCCAGCATGCAGGACGAACATAGACGCGTACCTTTGGGATTCCAAGCACTGAGGATAATGCGACGATCCGTCGGGTCCTCCTTGATTTTTTTGATACACTCCCTCACCTGATCGACACCCTCTCCCGTATAGTCCTTATCGCAGTCCACGTACTCGGCACCAAAGTGCCGCCACTGGAACCCGTACACCGGTCCCAAATCACCCTCCCGTCGGTGTTGGAGCCCCCTGCTATCCAAAAACGCGCGAGAACCATTCCCATCCCAGATCTTCACACCCTTCTTCGTCAGCAGTGTCGAGTCTGTCGAGCCGTGGATGAACCAGAGGAGCTCCTCGATGATGCCACGCGTAAAGGTACGCTTCGTGGTCAACAGGGGTAGTGTAGAGTCGGCTAGCGAGAATCGAAGAGATGGAGGCGCGAATAGCGAGATTGTACCAGTGCCAGTACGGTCTGGGCGGACGTCTCCTGTGTCGAGGACGCGTCGAATAAGCTGAAGATATTGATCCTCGTCGTGTGGCAGAGCTTGATGATCTTTTGATGCATCCTTTACAATGACAGTCATGGCGGAGGTAACGACGGCACGACACGAGGCAACGGGTATTTTAAGGGTCTGGTCAGTGAGAGAGAGAGATGCGATGCGTCGTGTTATTCAATTCTCACGTAGATCCGAATGCCGACAGGCGGATCAGCTCCTCCATTCCAGCCGCCAGCCGTCCTCAGAATGGTGTGCAGTGTTGAATTTTGCAGCGTGGCTTCAGCGCGTTTATTGATCACTACTTTAGTACTTATATAATGGCATCTGCCAATGTGAAAAGCCGTCGTAGTACAATGGTAGTACATTGCTTTCCTAGCTCAATGACCTCCAAGGCAAAGGTTGTGGGTTCGAGCCCCATCGTCGGTTCTTTTTGTGTACATATTCCCCGTTACGCCACGACCGGCCCATTCACCTGACGGCCGCTTGTTACCCACTATACTTTATCCGTCCGTTTTTCTTGCCCGTGAGATGAAACTGTTATTGCGCTTGCGGAAGTGGGCTTGGTCTGGGCTTGGTTGTCTACCCCGGCGAATCGATATCCCGTTGACACAACATCCCTTAACGGCGGCGGATGAAAATTGCGTAGATGTACACATATTGTCCAATTGTCCATTCCAGTAAGTTATCCACCTGAGCTAGGTCATAAAAATTTTCTCTTGCCGGACTGGTACTAACTTACAAAGGCGACCTCAAACCAAGGTGGCCAAGCTGATCGTGTTCTTCGTGACGTCTGTTGAGAAGTACGCGTTCTTGAGGAACACATCACCGACCTACAGCCCATAGTCAGCACATTCAAGCCTGTGGAAGGGTCGCGAGAAACATACGAGCCACTCTGTCGCGCCACCCACGCTTCCAGAAGAAATGCCTGAGATACAGTCGCCCGTGGGGTTATTGGGGTCCACAGGCTGGAAGGCAATGTCCCTGGGATCAATGGCAAACGCAGTACCTCCAAAAGTCAAGGCAATGCTACTGTTGAATGCGCAAGGGACGATGAATCCGCCTTGACCGTCAGAACGAGCGCCCTGAATGTTGTTATGGACAGCAGCAGCGTCGGCGGGCGGCGCCACGATGAGAGTTGTTCCGGTGTCGAGGATGGCTGTGCGGCCTTGCAGACCAACGTCAGTCCCATCGACAGAGACAGCGTCCAGAGCGCCTTCCCAGAAGCCTTGCGTGCTGACGTTGTCTAGTGTCACGAGAGTTTGACTGTCGAATTTCGTGTCGTCGAGACCGCTAGAAAGTGTGTTGGCGGAAGGTAATGGATTTCAGGCCCCTGAAAGCTTACCCGAATGTGATCTCGCCGTCGTTCTTGTTATCAGCGAGACGCGAAATCTTGTAGGATGTAATCGCGTCTTGAACAAGACCTGCCTTGGCCAGCGCCTCGATAGGTGTCAATGTCCGCTGTTCAGAAAGAGTCTGTATGGTAATTGGTGGGATGAGCATTTGTAACATGGTGTTATAATGTGGAGAGACTGACCGACTGTGCCAAACCCATTAACCCATCAAACGGCGTGGAATCATCGGAGAACTGGACACTTTCAGTAGTTGCAACGCCGAACGTGTGCGCCTTCAGCGCGAGACCGGCAACAACAATGTCATCTTGAACAATGCTTCCCTGCACCTCCCCAGTCCCATATGTAACTTTGAATGGCGTGTTGGTATCTTGGAAGGAGCTCGAGCTCTGGGGACCAAGGAACGTGTGGTTTCCCTGTGAGTAAATCACATCAGCTGTGAAGCATCATGGCAGAAAAGCTGTAGAACGTACACAATCGCCACCAGCCTGAGCTTGACAATTTTCGGCACCGACCCACAGGTCAGCCGATCCGGAGTCCATTAGGATCAAAAAATTCCGCGGCGGGGTGCCTATTTGAACAGTTGCGAGGTAGCCAAAATCGTCGGCCCTGCGGATATCGGATCAGGAATGGCATAAAAATTCAGCAAGCAAAGCGCCCAACTCAATGTCTAGCCCGAGTGAGTTGTTAGCAGTCGGCTGGTTCGCAGGTGTTACGCCGCCGGCAGCACTGGAAGAGACGTTTGTTTATAAATTGAAACGATGTATGGCTGAAGCAGATGACACATACCCAGTTGTGCCAGTAGCAGCGCCAGAGCCAGTCGCATCATCCTCATTGCCTTCGTGTCTACCCTTCCCCTTGTGGCTGTGACCATGCCTTTCTGTAGCAGAGGCAGATGCCAACACGGCACCTGAGCCAGCTGCCAATCTGGACTTCGATTTCCCTTTCACAACACCAACGCGGTTGTAGCGCTTGACGAGGCCCTCCTCACCACTAACTGCGAGAACACGTTTGTGAAGATTAGAGCGCAACTCTTCTGAGGTGGGTTCGCTCCGGCCTGTCATACGCGCAAAGCGCCGGTGGCTTCGGTTTATGTTTTGCTGGTGAGCCTATCGGGATGATGGGTTAATTGAGGAGCGGTAGGGGCGCAGCGAACAACGAACGATGAGAGGGTGGACATTTGACCTCTGCTCAAGCCGCTTGAGGGGAAGGGTGACCAGGCCAGGTTTGGGGTTGGGGCTGGGAATGGCCCTGGGAATGGGAAGAGCGTCGACAAAGTAGGTGAACACGAGGCCTGCTAGCAGCGCTGAAACTTTGAAATGCATGCCGTCAAGAATTCGTCGGTTTGTGAAGGTAAACCTCTGCCAGAGAGGGTGATATGAGGAAATAAATGGGAAAATGAAAAGCCCAGCCTGTGGAGAGAGAAACGGGAAGAAGAGTAGGTCATCTGGACCTCGAGGTTGCCGTCTTATACAGCTCGCGTGGCCGTTGCTAGCCGAGGGACTGCCATCCGCAGCCACAGTCAGACGGGGGCTTCTAGATGTGATGGCGCAAAAATAGACACTTGTTTGTAGGGCCATGAATAGATCCACAATACTTAGGTCATAAATCATATTGCGGGTGTTGGCAACGTTTTGAAGTGATCCGGAGTTCGTCAGTATTAAAACTGGGCTGCGGGGAGTTTTCGAGCTTGGGGCCGATGCATACAGCTGCAACATGCGGGCGGCGTAGCAATCGTCGATTACCAGCCCAGGCGACGGCATAGGCGCTGTAAGGCTTCGAATCACCGAGGCCCACGGCGTAGAAAAACAACGGCACGTCGTCTGGTGGCAGTCAATGAGGGGCGCGATGAGGGGCAGCAAGAGGTAACCACGTTTTGTTCATGCTGTTTAAGCTCTCGCACATGGCAGTTGCTGCACGAGGGTGGCGGAGAAAATGATAACACTCACCTGTTGACCGTGTTGGCAGGGCTCGACGGTGAAATGAGGGTAGGGTTGGGGAAATGCGCGGGATGGAGGCATCGTCGACTGAGGTTCGGAGGATAGCACCGAAATGCGGGGTGAGCTCTTTATACATTTGAACGATCGTCTTTAAATCGTTCAAAAATTTTGGGATCGAGACTAGGGTGGGCCACCCACGCGACATGCTGGGTTCTGGGTGAGCGGGATTCATCGTCGACGAAGGAGGATGGGGGGTTGGTGTTATATTACGAAGTTTTGCCAGCCATCGTTAGCCGCACGGTCGTTGTGATCACGGAGGGGGTATATATGCTGGAAGGTGGTGGGTACGATGGGTTAAGGTGGAGGGCGGTGGCTGCGAGAAGAGAATGAGGCTGAGGCCTGTGGATGGCAGCCTGCTGATCCTAGGTGGCTGACACTGGCGATTGCAGAGGCTACAATGACCCGAGGTCGTGGGCGCGATGACGAGCTGTGTGGAGACAACGTTAGGAGGAAAGGAAACAGCGAAAAGAATAAGAAGATGCACCTTCAGCTCGAGGTTATCGCGCACACGGTATGCTCGATATCGGAGCTGTGGTTGTGGGCTTTGGGCGAAGGGGTTCACGTGGAGTGTGGCTGATACTGTACGCGAAGGCGAGCTGAGGCAACAAATCCTCCCGCCCCTCAGGAGAAAAATGACAGCTGGTGACGGAGGAAAGAAACAGGGAATGACCGCCTTTTACCGAATCAGAAGGATTTTATATCCCAAAACGATCGCTCCGCCACACGAAATCGGGACTCGGGTAAGGTCAACCTCCTTGTGTACAGCAGATCGAATATGGTATCGTAGCATCGAGGCTCGTCTTTCGAATCACAGCCTGTATCTGCTAACATGAGTTGGCATCCGTGGAAGTGTCCATAATTGAGCAGACGTACCGTATCTTGTGTCAGCCTTGGATTCGAAGGCAAAAGTTCAGTCGACTCCACCACGCAGAGAAGTGCAGCTATATTTTACCTGGGACCAATATTATCTGACAAAGAGATGAGCTTCAGTCGAGGATTTAGGCCCTTTCAGGCGTTGCTGTGAACAGCGCTCGGAGCCTCAGACCCCTCAACATGCTCACAGCAGCGATCAACAATACAGCTCAGCGTCCTTCGAGCGAAGCATGAGAAATACTTCAAGTGGGCCATATGTCAACGCAAAGAGTACCCCCTGGCGGCTGGGCAGGCAAGCTCCTAAATTTTAAACAGATAGAATTGTAAATTTACATTTACAGCCTCGAACGCGCAGCGGCATCTTCGATGACGGCGCTGGTAATTCTTGGATCGGTCCCAATAGTAATTAAGGCGTCGCGGTATAAGTCATTCTGAAGGTCTGTTAGTCAAACTTGACTTGCTACAGGAAAGGACAATACCTTAATCAAGCCCCAGACACCCGACTGAGCATTGCCGCTGAATGTATCAGCAACTTCCTCTGCCTTGGCTAGTACATCGGCAGTGTTTCCGTTCACAAGGTGGTCCAATAATCCGTCGTCAAATGCCTCTTTGGCTGTAAATCGGTGACCTTCTAACGCAATCTTGCGATGCAAACGGCTGTCGCCTATTTTGGCCCGAAGGATGGCGGCGAAAGACAGAGGCCATACAGCGCCAAAGTGGACCTGTAGAATTTGAATATCAATGTGGGGCGTGGATTTCAAGGTCGTCCTACCTCATTCATGCATAACCAGGCATTACGCTTACTACCGTCGGTCATGACGCGATAATCGCAAACCAACGAGAGCATGAATCCGCCAGCGAAACAGTGCCCGTTGATGGCCGCAATAGTGGGAACTGTGTGCCAAGTCAATGTGTCGGACGTATTTCGCGTTGAGATAGGCTGAATCCTTACTGGGGAATATCAGCAGGCGGGCTAGGAGCGGGTTAAATGTAGCTGCCGTGCAACATGTGAGAACGAGTTCTTAAACGCGTCGCGAAGTGCATACTGGGAAAAAAGTTGGGGTTGGGAACAACACTTGCGAAGTCAAGTCCTGTCGTGAAAGTGGCCAGTCAACCAATAAGTACGCAGAGAATTGAGCATCTGAAACGCACCGTTGCTAAAGAACTTATCCTGGTCTTTCCTCCCCACAATGATGAGCGCACC